ATATATAAATATATATATATATACTTCTTTATATATATATATATATATATGTGTATCTCTGTTTTGTGAGAAAAAATAAACAAAAATATCTCCCCCCCCCCCCACATATATATATATATATATATATATATATATATATATATATATATATATATATATATATATATATATATATATATATATATATATATATATATATATATATATATATATATATATATATATATAATATTTTATTTTATTTTCTTCCTTTTACATTTTTACTACTTGTCTTCTCCATAAAGAAAACATATATAGAGTTCACCAAGACAAGAGTCACTATCTTATAACATTAAACACTAAGGGGTGGAAATTGGAACGGAAATTCCGATTTCTGCCGTTTTCGATCCAAAATTTTCCGATTTTAGAACAATATTTCTCATTCCGTTTTTTTCAAAAAAAAAAAAAACTATCGGTAATACATATGAGATTATTTTCAATCCGATTTTAATTTCCAAAAATTCTGATTTTTTTCCACAAAATACCAAGATTATGATGTATTTTATTTAGGTTACTTTCCGAACTCCGTCGATTTTGATCCGAAATTTTTCTATTTTTTAATAAGTGTTTTCATTCCAATTTTTGAATATCCGATTTTTCCACTTCTTTTGGAAAGGAATTGAACTAATTTTTTACTTCCTGAAAAAATAGTTTTTTTGTCAAAAGTGTTAATTCTGATCCGATCTACCCATTAATATAAAAAAAATCCTCATTTTATTTTTAAAAGCATATACACCCACGTGATCTTCACTAGCGGAATCTGCGACAATTTCTATGATTGAAATGACAAACATGCCCTCCGATAAAGAACATAACGGGACAATGAGTAAAAAAAAAACGTAACGTTATGCAACTAATGTATAATGTTTTGCAGGAACTGCATACCGGGATCTTTGGATTCGAAGAAAGTGGCCGGAAAGATAATAGTGTGTGTGAACGAGGATCCGAATGTATCAAGAACGATAAAGAAATTAGTTGTGGAAGATGCTAAGGCAAAAGGGGTGATAATAATAGATCAAGAATTACAAAATGCACCATTCGATTCGGGCACATATCCATATTCACAAGTTGGATTAACTATAGGCTCCAAGATTCTCCATTACATCAATTCTACTAAGTAAGCCATTTTTATTTTTTTTACTATTCAATTTACGTGTTTCTATCGAGGGGTAAAATTGGAAATTTACCGCATGTACAATCAGACGTCGTTAAACATAAAGGGATTTGATGCAGATTTTCCTTAACACGTGGGAGTTTAATTTTATGTA